AATTCTAGAGTATGTGGAGAAGCAAGAAGTCCAAAGGGATAGCATCATCTCCACAAAATTTGAAAGCAGATATGCATTGAAGAAAAAAAAAATACGCTCTAATGTTTCTAGATCACATTATAAAAAGCACTATCATGGTAGTACATGGTTGTATATGGTGCCAACTCAGCCCCCAACACATAAATATGGTGCGGGGTGGGACACTCCTTCCTCTCACTGTGAAGCTGGTTCATACAAGAACCTTTAATAAGAAGGCAGGCATGGTCTGATAGAGGAAATACCGAAGTAAAGGAAAATATCAAAAGATGTTTGTTTTTGTAGAGTGGATATGGGAGAGGAGATAGGAGACTAGAGGAGAGTTACAGGGACTCAAGGTGACTAAGGAAGGGCAAAGATGAAGCAGACCATGGAAACTTAAAAGCTAGAAAGCCCTGTGTGGCACACAGAGGTCGTGAGGTCTCCACTAAACTACTGCTTTTAGTTGGGATTCTATGTACATGACTCTCTAAGTATTACTAATGGCTTACTGGTGAAGCCTTACACAATAAATTAACGAAGCCTGCGGCAATTAAACACGCGTTTGTCACCAATAGCTATGTATTGCCTGTAACAGAGACTTTCCCACTTTGGTGTTTATAGACTGGTATTTGTCAACAGTGGTCATGCCTCTACTTGGCTCTAGTCAGAGCTTAATCTTCCTCTGGAAGTCCCTTTCTCAGGTGATTAAATCACTGCCTTCCTGTTTCCTGTTCCTGTAACTCGCTGGCGTATTTCTGAGACAATGGCACCATGTTATTTCAGCAGTAGACTCACCACGGTTGTATTTACAATTAATATTTATTGAGTGCTAATTGGGTACCTGACCTCTTATTACGTCCTGAAAAGGATCCATTTGCTGTTGATTTATGCTGGCACACCCTGCGATTCGAGCAGCTCTGTGTTCTCCCACTGCCCCACATTCCCATGGGGTAACTCGACTCTCTTCTTCCCAGCTTTTACTGACACACAGAAATTGAGTTTGTTGCGACTTACAGTGTGATAGCTCACTCTTTCTTGACAGTGCAGTGTAGAACTCCACTACTACACTGTTAGCATTGGGAACTAAGAATGGGTATTACTTCTCAAGTCCACTTGAAGTTTTCCACCCATTCAACTGGGTATGTTAATTACAATAAAGTCAAGCATAATGATCTTAAGAAATCACCATAGATTTCCCATATGTAGATTGGAAAATATTTTCAACAAATGCATATTTAAATGAGACAGTTCCAGAAGCAAAGGAGAAATAATTTTGGTCCTATCTCCCTGTCTGTGTGGATGGAGAGGTTTTATGGAAAATATATTTCCTGCCTTTGCCTGACTCAGTTTCTCTAGTGTGGCTGAGAATAGACAGACCAAGGACAAGTTTAGGTAAGTACAACTTTATTTATTCACCTTGGAATAAAGATATAAACACCCATACAGAAAAGCACCTCTTTGATATTTCTTCCCCTCCCATTCTGGGGAAAGAACTTAGTGTTCTTTTCATGGCAAACACAGTTTTAATATTATCAAATACATCAATAACATTCCTTCAAAATGGTGTTCACCTGCAGGAGCAGCTGGATTTGCTCACATCCTTCATCTAAACTAAACTCATTTTGCTTTAGTTCAGCACATCCTGCAGTGCAAATATGTCACAGAGCTGCTTTCCAAGGACTCTTTCTAAAGGGGCTACTTCAAGGGGTCTCAGTTCCGATCGCCACTTCTTCTGGTTTCTGGTCTGTTTCACTTTGCAGAGAAAAAGAAAACATACAAATAAAGAAAGGCAAGCTGAAGCAGGCTGGTTTGATTTTTTTTTTTTTTTTTTTGAGGAAAAAATAACTAACTACAAAATTAAATACTCAGCCTGTTCATGGTATAGGGGTAACAAAGCAATTATCCATGCTTTTACACATTCTCCCTATCCCCTTGTAAGATAAGCTGCATTTCTCAAGATCAGTTGGAGAAGCTGGGTCTCAGGACAGGGATAGGTACCTACTTGGTATACAATGGAGACCGAACAGAAGGTCCTAAGTCACCCTCCACTCACTGGCCCCTATGTGACATCTCTCCAGACTCAGGCCTTATACATATATTTCACCTAATTCCTTTCAACTGGTTTTTAGTCCATCATGACAATCTTCCAAGCAAATGGGAAATTCTGCTACAATGCAGTATATACATTCCTATACATCCCTTTAAAAAATATGTTGGGAAAACTACATGAAATTGATTGGGTTCTTGGGGTAGAAGACTGGTTCTCCAAATCCTAAACTATTTATAACCAGTGCATGGGTATATATGTATACATATACATACATACATACATACATACATACATACATACATATTTAAAGGGATAACATGGGTTTCAGAAACAAGTTGAACACACCATACTGTGTATTACAAATGTACAAAACAAGTGTGAAAATACTGCTAACGGATGGAGGGTGAGGTCTGGCGCAGTGGATGTGTCCTGAAGCTATTCTTGGCACAACCTGCTGAGAGCCAGAGACTCAGGAGATGGAAATGGACCTTTCTGGAGATGACCCCTACACTAAGTTATCCTTTTCTTTGGAGGACTCTAATATCCTTCTATACTTGACTACTAGGACCTCAGACACACCCTCTCATCACCCATGACTGAGCCAGACATGTGAGTTGACATGCTATGTAGCTGAATAGACTCCAGGCATGCTCCACGAAGGACTGACTTCCCAGGCTAGGGTCCCTGAGTGGTAGCTTTGGCACACAGTGCAGATAAGGGAGACAGAATACAGACTTTTTTTTTTTTTTAAGTATTTTTATTACACAGTAAAGAATACAACAATACCTGAATCATACTTGAAAGATTCACAGGTTGACAGACCATACATTACAGTCCAACTAAAGAAAAAAGGATAAACAAGAAACCACAGTTCAGACATAGTAGACTTAAAAGCTCAAGAGTATGCTGACAAAAGCATAATGCCTAGCCCCGCCCCCCAGTGTTAGTCTACCGTTCACGTGTGGTACATGTCTGAATTAAGTATTGCACAACAACTTTAATTTTTCACAAGAATGTCGCAGAACCAAAAATAATTAAAATAAAATTACTTCAACTCTGCATTTCAACAGTCTCCAATTCTTTTTTCTGTCCCTTGAGGAATTCGGACAACATGGAGTCGCTTTCTTTCCCTAAGTATACCAGACATAGGCATGCTTTGCATAAGTAAACCAGCCTTGAAATTTTTAAATCCCCAAGACATGCACCTACACATTAAAACAAAACAAAACAAAACAAACAAACAAAAAAAAAACCCAAAAAACCAGAAGAAGTTAAGAAACAAATAAAAAAGACAGGTGGCCCTGTCACACACAGTCTCATGACAGAGAAAAAGAGAAAGAGAAAAGAGAAGAAAGATAAGGGATAGAGGACGCCCTATTCCTATCAGCGACCACCATTCAGTTCTATCCAATGAAGATAACCTTTTTTTTTAAATGTGTAATACCTACAAATTAATACTCTCACATAGCCTGTGTATAAGTGACAAGCAAAAAGGAAAGTAACAAAAGTTTTCTTTTCTTTCTCTTTTTTAGGTTTATGAGGTCTGCATTGTTACCAAGAAGTGATATGGTTTTGCAGCTGTATGAGCTTAACTTTTGGTATCCTGGTTCTTTTGTGCCCATTTGGTTTGACTAGACCAGTTTTTGTTAGCTACTGGTGCAATATACATGCTGTCAGAGGTAGAGTGAAACTTTTTGCCACTGAGGAGAATGTAGCAAAACAGGAGAGGAGGAGAGGAAGAGGAAGAGGGGGAGGAGGAAGAGGAATTAGAGATAGAGCTCAGAGTTAGGGATTTTTTTTTTTTTTTTTTTTTTTGTATTTGTTTTCACTCAGGGTGCCCTGAATTAAAAAGTAATGAGACGGACTGTACTAATCCTTATTTTACACACTAGTGTTAAGAATAACAGTGCTGTTGCACACACATCACAGCTTCTCAAGCTCGAGATGTGTGGGTATGACATACCTCATTTTTGGGATTATTTAACCCTTCGTAGCCTAGAACATAGAATAGCTCTAAGAAAGGACTGTCCAGTGTCACAAGCAGACTAGAAAGCAGAATGAGGTCAAAGGATTCTGGGAGCACCATGGTAAACTAGAACCCATTCAGAGCCTGGTTATGTGCTTTGCATTTCACTTTAGCAGGTGTGCTGGCCGATGGACTTCCAACATGCAGATAGAGAGATGCATTTACTTGCTCATCAGAACTTCCTAAACTAAAAGGCCATTAGAAAAACAAAAAGAACACACCACCTGAACAAAATTCAAACGGACTGGTATATGAAAATACAGGGGAGATGCTATAAGAAAATCTTAAGTTTTCCAGACATAAAGCAAACCCATGAGGATTGCCTCTCTGCAGATAACTTATAAAGTAAGAGCCACTTAAAACTGTATCCAAGGGCTACATTAATCCCCCTCCCCCCAGCTAATGGATTGTACTCAATTCGTAAAGAAATGCCTGGCATATGTGTATGTGAGCAGTGTCCTCCAAGCCTTGCCAACTTTGGTTGTCTACACAGCCTGCGGCACTGCCGACTCTTAAAGCACACAACCACATCCTGGGCTATTGTGTTTCAAAACTAACACATAGTTCTGGTCTGGACCCTGGACAACGAAGGGTTAATGGATTCACACTGAACATGTCTAACCTGCTGATCATTTGGAAAGTATTCCTGGTGCTTTTCAAGATTCCGGTTTTGGTCCATCAGATCAGTCTTTGGCTGACTTCCCAATACTGTATAACCTGGCACTCAGCAGGGTTAAAGCTGTCAATCAACACCTCAGCATTTGGAGCTCTAATGATTTTATTTTCTGTAAAATTAGAAATACTTAAACAACCTTACAGCAATATGCATGCACTGTCCTTTTTTTTAAAAGTAGGATATCTTGTTATTTTATTTTTTAAAAAAGGTCCCTAATAATTTTTTCCATAAAAAAAGAAAAAAGAAAGAAAAATTTCACTACTACTCTATGCTACAGCTAAAATTGGTGAAATGGCTCTAGCATATTTAAAAAGTTTTGTCTGAAAAAAAAAGCATGCCTAGGGAGTCATTGTGACAGTGCAAAATACATTTATGTACATCCCTCTTACAAAACACCCATATGCTAGCATTCCATGAAGCATGCTGGTTTCCAGGAAAAAAATCCTATAAGAGAGTGAGTTAGCAGCTCCAAAAGATAGCTTTTTCTTCTTTTCTTTTCTTTTCTTTTCTTTTTTCTTTTCTTTTCTTGAGGACAACCAAAAAGAGGTTCTTTTTTTTTTTTTCTTTTCTTTTTTAACTACTAGAGAAATATCACTAATACATACAGATATAAAAGCAGCATAGAAAGATACAGGTTTCTCACCAACTAGGAATAAAGAGACTAAATGTGGGCATATGGATAAACTACAATGCATCTTCACATTTGTCCAACACATTTACAAGAAAAACACCATTGGGAAACCTCACAGGACAGAAGTGTTTTAACACCAAGAGAACTACTAGATTTTAATTAAAAATCCAAACAGGGTGGGGTTGAAAAATTTTGGAAAGGGGCTGGAGCTAGAGCCACCATTTTTTAAAATTAGTTTTCAATATAAAATGAGTGAGCTGGAATAGATCCAATGTCCTACTCTGTGGAACCTTGCAAAAGTGAAGAAATGTTGAAGGGTTATTTAGGGCAGCTGGGCTGAGCTGGAAGCTGCCAGAATGCTAATTAACTGCAGGCTGAGTCGTGTGTGTGTGTGTGTGTGTGTGTGTGTGTGTGTGTGTGTGTGTGTGTGTGTGTCTACATATATAAAAAGGAGCCTTTGTATTATGGCATTTTTTTTTCTTGCTGCTGTAGTCATACATCCCACTGGAAATCATCTTTCATTTTTCATTCTGTTGACCTGGATATTATTATTTCTCTTCAGAAACAGGAAAAAAAAAAAAAAAAAACCCGAACATCTGTGTCTCCTTCCAATCTGCTGCACATCTGCGCGTTTTGTAGCGGGTCTTCAAAGTTCAGTTAGCAACCCACAGACGCCATTCATCTTCTTGTTAAAATGTCTACTGCTGTGTCCAACGCTCATGCCCTTGAGGGATTGCCTCTTTTTTTTTTTTTCTTTTTCCATTATTGTATATAAAGAACACTGTGACTTTTAATATTAGCATTTTTGCTTTCAACAGCAATTAGCAATCTCTTGGTTTGCTGTTTGGTAAAGCATTGGTTAATGAGGTCATCTAGTTTCAAATCCCAGCTACTTGAAAATAACAGGGAGGAGGTCAAATCTAGCATTTCATGTTATATTCTTTGCTCTTTTCAGTTCTCTAAAAAGATATCTTTGTTATCCACAGTAAGTCATTACCGACCCGTTACTGGCCCTGTTGTTTTACTACTGCCTCAAAGATACAGTTAGGTTCTCTCTTGCTGAAAGTACTGAAATAAGATAGATAGCTCATCTATAAACAAACAAACAGAAAAACGACTTTGCGCATCTGAGGATGAGGAATTGCTTTCGTGTTGCTTGTGGTGTCTTTCCTCCGTCAGTCCGAGTTTAGGTCTAGCGAGGCGTCGTCTCTATGGTGGAGGGGGTCCCCGGGGTGGTCGACCTCGGAGTGGCTGCTGGTGGTGTGTCCATCGGGCTCCCAGCCCCACTGCTGGGTGTGACTGAGGAGCTGACTGCGGGCGTGTCTCCCTGCTGTGGGGCCTGTAGGGTCTGTCCACAGATATGGTGGTGCTTCTCCCAGTCCTTATGCTGGCAAAATGAGCCACAGTACCGGGCTGTGTTGCAGCCGCTGCAGGTCTCGCTTGCTTTCCGGCCGCAGTTCCAGCAACTCTAAAGAAGGAGGGCAGACACCAGGTGAATGTTTGCTGAAGGTCAAAATCCAGTAATTACTGTCCCCACAGCCTCAAGAACTACAGAGACATCATGGACAACTCTGAAGACTTCAGCCTTGGTCGAACCTCAGTGAAGACCTCACCCAGGCTCAATGTCAATTGTACCACAGATTAACCCTCTCCTACCTCTCCAACCTGCTACCTTCTTCCTGGCCAGCACTCCCTGCCTCCCAAGGAGGCTCCTGGGAATGAAGCCTGACAGGAGGAGGAGCAGGCAGCAGCGTGGACCAGCGCTGTGTTCCTCACCAACAGGCCACTGCTGCAGACAAGCCACCCTGGCGGGAGGGCACTGGGACACAAAGCCCCGGCCCGGCCTCTGCAGGCTCTTCTGGATGGGCTATCGGCTTCCAACCGGGGCCTCTGGCTGATGGCCGCTCATCATTTTGTCCGCATTACTGATACCGCTCCATTCTATCGGGAGAGACCCTCCTGACCCAGTCTTCACTGCTAGCACGCTGACCACACCTCAACATACCCTCCTAGAGCTTCTTTACACAGTGCCCTCGTCCCATGTGGTCACATGCTGACCTGCACTGCCAAGCAAGGGGAAACATTTCCAGTGCCTCCCACAAAGGTACTGAATTTTCTCAATTCAGTCTCCTTGTCTCAATGGTCTCTCAGCCATGACTATGGCATTGGTGAAAATGGCTGAAGATCTACTGTTTACCATAAAAACCCTTCTTCATGGGTTTGGCTATTTTCATATGAAACAGATTATCCACCCGATCTTAACTGCAACCTCCATTTCCCAACGTTTTTTCCCCCTTCTCCCACCAATATTGTAATGGCTGGATATGAATGCACTACTCTTAGGAAAGGCTTTCTCCTGGACACTAACGGGAGACGGGTAGGACAGACAGGACCACGGGATTAGACTCAGTGAACCAAGAAGATAAATGAAGCATCCTGTTCTCTCCTCCATGCCAGCTCACACAGGCTGTGGCAAAGCACTCCTAAGCTCTCTGCAGATGTAGGTCTTCCCACAGTATCCTCTCAGGACACTGACAACCAAATGCAAACTGGTTAATCCTAGTTACCACTCTTGACCTCAGCAACCTGAAGGGCATCTCTGGTTAATTTATCTGTGATAAATGCTTCTTAGTCTGACAGGGATGAGAAGCTCAAGAAATAATTGTGAAATAAACACATGAGTTGATGCCTAATTTAACCTTGAAAAATGAGAAATCCTAAGACTAGGTGAATAACAGATCTACCTGGATACAGCATTTCCCAGTTGACAGAACCAGCTCCCTTGCAACTCAGGGAAGTTAGAATGACCGAGGGGAGTGTGGGCTTAACTGGCCCTAGAAGAAAACCCTGACCCTGGAAAGCTGCCAGCTTTATGTGGCATCTTAGAAAACACGAGGAAAGCAGAAATGAGGTTGCCGCTGAGATTCCCGTGCTATGTACAATGCCTTCCTCGTGAATCCAAGCAGAGATGTCAGGGAGAAGCAAGCACACCTGTGTGGGGCCGAGCTAACAGAAGCAAGGGCAAAGGGGTAGAGACCAACTGTGACAATACTGTCAGGCATGCTTCCAGCAGGAGAGACGGGCACCTCGGATTGCCATATTGAAATGTTCATCTCCAGGGAAAACATGTCTCTAGTTCTGCAGGTAGACAAACTGCACTGTGGAGTGCTGTGTCCGCTAGCTAGCTGTAGTACTGCGCCACTAAGGTCTCATGCCCTGCTTCTGTACTGCAGTGCCTGGGATGGAACCAGGGTCTTCCAAGTGGTAAAGCAAGTGTTCTTCCACTCAGCTGCGTCCTCGGCTCTTGTCAACGGCTTTGATTATTTACTTGCAAGACAGATTCTTAGCTGTAGTCTAATAACCCAATCAGTTCACAGCTGTGATTATATCACAATTAATACACATTTTAAAATAACTATCGAGATATTGCAAGGTTCCTCACTGTGTACTCTGCATTTACCGGGCCTTCATTATGTTCGGAGTTTGTCTGGAGATGGGCTCATCAGCCTATTAAAAACACTCAGCTAGAATGGCAGACTATTTCCCTGACAGGCAAAGCTTTCTCACTATGCAGAACATAGAGGGATTTTCAGGAATTACACTAACTACTAACAAGGGGATCCTGGAGCCTTTCAAGGGCCAGAGGCTGGGAACTTCAAGAACTTTGGTTCTTGAAGACCAAGGAGATTGCTCAGTAGATAAAACTGTGTCTTGTGTAAGTCTGGTGACCTGAGTTCAATCCAGAACACATGTGAATGTGTAGATGTTATGGTAAGTCCAGGCGCTCCAGGGCTGGCTATCCTGTACAATTCACCACAGCCCGGGAAATGAGAGGGATTCTGCTTCAATATGGTGGAAGATGAAACTCCACTCCTGAACGAACGAACACACACACACACACACACACACACACACACACACACACACACACACACTTAAATTCTTACCCATTCAGAAATTCCAGTACTAGTAAGGAAAACAAAGCAGTGTCTATGATCTCAAACTACAAACTTAGTTGATATGGGACTCTTAGTAAAACAAATCTCCAAAACCAGTACTACAACTTAATATTTCTCTAGTTCAATTTAATTAATATGAACTTCTCAAGAGGCCAGGAGTCGTAGTTCACATCTGTAATGCCATCACATAGGAGGCTATGGCCAGTCCTGGGCCACTTCAATGGGATCACAAAGTATCATTCTCCAAAGAACAAAAAGGGAAGGAAAAAGCTCAAAAGATGCACAAACTCTGACCATCACCACAAGTGGAACCCTTCCTCTCCCAAACTTAATTCCACTGCATTGCATGGATTGTTTATCCATGAAATTGTCAATAAGTATAGGCCTGGCCCAGCCTTCAAAGCTCGAGGTATGATGCTTTGCATTCAGAGTGAAGTTTACTTTTTCTTCTGTGAGGTTTAGCTTTCAGGAGATTGCCAGCTGGGTCCTGGAACCCACTCAGCAAATAAGCGATATTCCTAAATTACATCAGAAAATCCCAATTAGGGAACAGAGACCCAAATCCAAAACAATATTTTAAGGAAATTAAACATCTAATCTGAGTCAAGCAGACTCTTTAGGAAATACCCTGGTGTGAGTCCTAGCCTGTTTTGGCAGAGGCATGTTTTGGCAGACTCCGGGGTGGTAACTGCCCAGTGCTCAATGGCTCCTTCAGATTGAAATCAGATGTACGCAACTTCTCAATTTAAACTGATTAAACACACAGACTAAACCAGGTAATTACAAATGCATGTGCTGGGGAGTGGACAGAGGAGACAGAATGGGGACTTCTTTATTTTTTAAAGTGTTTTCAAAGATGGGAACAATTTTACAAAAAAAAAAAAAAGTGGAGTTGAGCCAAATACAGAAACAGATGTTTGGGATAGCAGAGCTGCTGAGAGCTGGGGCCTCTTGCCTTACAGTCCTGGTTCTGACCCAAGAGTTAAGGGCTCTGGTTAGTTTTACCTCTAGCTCTGCTCCATAGTTCTTTCATCTTACTCAAGGTGCAACAAAGAGCAATTCAATGATCTTGTAGGATTAAAATTAAAAAAAAAAGCTTGAATGATTTTATTGCCCTTGACACCACATTCCAATGAATGTATAGGGAACTTTAGTGTATGCTTAAGTTAAAAAAAACAAAAACAACAACAACAAAAAAAAAAAAAAAAAACCCTCCAAAGTGAGCTCAAGAGAAACTGTAAAAGGTCATCTGTATCATATTTCTCTTGGATAATTGTCCTAAATTTCCAGTTTATGAGTCCATACCTAAGCAACTGATGCCTGGCCAACAGTCCTGACCCTGAACTTTTCATCTGGAAGTGGAGGAGGGCATGTGCAGTGGTTTGGATGAGCAATGTTTCCCACAGTCCAGGGCCTCTGAACCCTGAGCCTCTGTGGGTAGAGCTGTTTGCAGAAGTATGACACTAGGGGTGGGCTTTGAGGATGTCAATCCTTCCTCTACTTCTAGTTAACTTTGTCAGCTCTCAGCTTCCTAGTCTTGTTGCCAACCCTCCCACCATGATGGACTCTTATCCCTCTGAAACCATAAGCTAAAATAATTGCTTTTCATTACGGTGCTTTATCACAACTGGGCAAACTTGTCCTGGGATACAGGTGAAGAATCAAGGCTAGAAAAACAAGTCCCTCTCTGCAGAATACATTAAAAACACTGTTACATACAGATACAGTAAGGGTAGATGATGATTCTGGATGTCAGAGTTTTGGAGCAAAGGTGCTATACATTTTTCTTATCAGAGATTCTCTTTATCCCCTGGGGGCAGGGAAGTTCTCTCCTTTATCTTGTTATCTTGATATATAGAACAAGATTCACTATCCAAGCAGAAAATGCAACCCTCCTAGCCTTCATTGTTGAAAATTCTTTTTCTGAGAGACAAAAGGGTTTTGCTGAATGACTGTCCTTTTTACGAGGTCTTATCTGCAACTGATGCTCAAGGAATTTAAATAAAATTGTTGTAACTACAATCAGCAAAGGTAAAGGGCTGGCTCCTCTACTAGTCCTATAAATACAAAACTCTACGAAGCTTGAGCTCACACTAAGACCACATGTTAGACTCAACGTTGCATTTGATCTTTTAAAACCATGGCCATGGGTGTTTTGCAGTTCGAGATCCCAAGGCCTTAAAAGTTTCTTAACTTTCACATTAAAAGAAACTGCATAGCCAAGGTGTAAGACTTCCCCAGTCCCCAGCTGGTATTTATACTGCCAATCAAACATTCTTTCTAAAATGCCCCACTCTGCCAATGTAGATCTTTTCTTAGGTCCCACTGTGGCACCAATGGTTAGAAGACAGTATCATTCCCTCCAGGAGGTACAGGCTGGATCAGGATACATGAGCCGGTAAAGGACAAGATGTCATGGTAGCCAACCAAGATGACACAGGCATCAGAGTCAGGGCAGCCTGCCTTCCATTTTTAGGGCCACAGCTGAGTGACATTAAAAACACAGGCA